GCGGAAGGATCGCCGGAGCCCAGCAGGTTGAGGCTGCAGTGGCTGGGAGTGGCCACTGCACTCCAGTCTGGGTGATGGAGTGAGACTCCAACTCAAAAAAAGAAAGAAAGAAAGAAAGAAATCACTTTCAGCACTTACCAGGCACCTTGGGGGCTCCCTCTTACTTCAGGCTTCTTGAATCATTTGCATGATTCAATTTTGTCGAAAGACAAAATTACAACAAATTGTAACAAAGTTTATGGACCTAATCTGCTTTGTTTGCAATTCCTGAATGGGTCATCATCCCATGCGATAAAATAGACTAAGAGTTTCCATTGGATGTGACAGAACAGGCAAGGTGAGAACAAGGAAACAGAACCATAGGAAAAAACCAGATTGGTTAACATCAGTTTACTTCAGGTTAATTTTCTTATAACGTTAAAGCCAAGGGAACTTCCTTGGCATGTGACTCAGGTTAACGGATTCTTTCTGATTGGTTGTTGTGAATCTGCTTTCAGGAAAATCTGGTCTATTTGGGGTTTCACATACTTCCTTAAAGTTTCAGTTTAATTCTGTGGCATTTAACATTAGTGACTCTATTTGTATTTTTTTTTTTTTCTTTTTTAGTTGGAATCTCACTTTGTCGCCCAGACTGGAGTGCAGTGGCACGCTCCTGGCCATCGCAGCCTCGACCTGCTGGACTCCGGCGATCCTTCCGCCTCAAGCTTCCAAGTAGCTGGAACTACAGGCGTGCGCTACCATGCCCGACTAATTTTTTTGATTTATTGTGGAGATGAGGTCTCGCCAAGTTGCCCAGGTGGGTCTCGAACCCGCGGGCTCAGGCAATTCACTCTCCTTGGCCTCCCAAAGTGCGGGATTACAGGCTGAGCCACTGAGCCCGGCTCCGTTTGTATTTCGCCTGTTGGGACCTTTAGCAGGAGCCAGTTCAGAACAATGACCTTCCATAATTTTGTTTAACACAACTAAAGAGCTAATGCCTGGCCCATTATGGGCCCTTCAGGATCTGCCCAGGTCCATTCAAACCAGCATTGGCTGTTAATGTTTTAAATATCACCCTGGAGGGTGGAGAGAGACCTAAGCAGCACTTTCAGTTCTGTCTGTGGAGTAGAAGGACGTTATAACAAAGGTCAATTTCTCTCCCATCTGCAATCTCTCCTCACAGGTAGAATGAGATCAGGTGGGAAAATAGCTCCTTCAGCTCCTCCCCAAACCCCAAATTAACCCTTTGGCTGCAGGATATATGAATGAGTCAGGGTTGGCCTGCTGTAGAGCCATGAAAGATGAGATGGATTCACAAGGTGGGGACAGCTGGTATCAAAAGGCCATGGAGTTAAGGGCCTCTTTTTTTTTTTTTTTTCTTTGAGTTGTAGTCTCTCTCTGTCACCCA